CTAACAGATTAATTTTTCCAAAATAAAGATTTACAGTAGCAGAAAAAGCGTGTCCCCTATCACTTAAGTGCATTTTATCACTGCTAAAGGAAAGAATTAGCCATTTGTTTAGTTAACTGCAAGTGTAGGAGAACTGCTCTTTGGATAAGTCTGAAGTGCCTTACATTCTTTGTGCCCTAACTTGCAAGCAGTCTTTGTTCTAGATAACAGAAGAACAGTGTAGCAGTGACACTATCCTTATCACAGCTTCCTCAGCTATGATTTGGCTCAAGCTTTGAGAGTTCTCAGATGCATTAACATTTAAAGCCAAATGGAAAAAAGGCACAGTAGATAATAGTTTAGTTGGAGAAGACGGGAGTTGTCAGGAACAGTTTCACACAGTACAGAAGGTGAGCTGGACAGTGCAGGTGTGTTGTTGAAAGGCTAGGGAAGAGTTTTAGCTAACTGCAGACAATTGGCTTGGATTGAGTCAGGCATGAATGTACTGCAGGTGGTTAAGCATCACACAGAGTGTTCCTAACTCCAGTTAGGATCCACATAGTTGTGTATTCTTCCCCATAAAGTTCAACACTGATTTATTTCAGTGCAGATGAGTCCTATCTGATAAAATAAAGGTTAAAAGCAAGCCTGCAATAAATATAACTGGTCTTTGTTGTGACTTGGTGTTCAAAACAAAATAGTACGAGAGTCAGTTTGACTCCACCTCCATTCCAACAGCCAGCCATAAGCTTTTTTAGTCCTACAGCTATTTTCTTTTTCTCACACAAATAATTGGGGGATTATTCAGCTTACCTTGACGGGGCAAGTTTTCTGAGACATTTACGTGAGGGGTATTTGCAGGCTTTAAACTCAGGTTTTCCCAGAGATCCTCCAAGCTTTCTGCTTTGACAGGAGTAGATTGAAACATGGTCCTCTGATCTCTGAGATAAAAAAAAGTTTATATATTCTCATCCATACATATGAATAACAGAACATACAGCACATCCAGATATGAATATCCATCTTAAGATGGAGATTAAAGATAAGATCTTCCCCTCCACCGCCCCCAACACATAATTTCTCTGGCCAAGCTGCACAAGGGGGTGCACAATATCTTACAGAAGAGTTGTGTGCAGTAGTTGCATGCAAGTACATAGTTCCTCCCTTGGAGCTTGTCACATCTGGCATCAGCAAGCTGCGTCAATTACCACAGAGCACAGAGGATAGGAAATGGTCATGGAGAGAGATTTATATACAAGTAACACATGCAAAGTTCCTCCCCAAGTCTAAAGTTTTCGGACTCTTTTTCTAATGGTGAAGTGAGGCCAAAAGTTAAGAGCTGTTCTTGAAAAAACTAGAAGGTGGTTGCCCCTTAGCAACACCACCCCTACAGCTAGTAGGCTAGCTCCTGCTATCAACTAGCAAAAGATTTCAGAAACCTCTTACCCATTTTTAATGGGTTAGCTAGTTCTTCTCATAACTGACTTCATATGCTATCAAGTAGAAAAACAACTCCAGCCATAAAAATCACTATTCTTCCAAGCATATTTGTTTAATTTCAATTCCTACAGCTTTTTTTGGTTTAGGACACTGCAAAACCCTTTTTGACGTCAATTATTTTTGACATTTATATGACAAGCCATATGTATCAATGGCTTTGTTCCTTTCACTAAATGAAGAAAAGGTAATTCAGTGGATCAGCACCCTTCCCAGAAGGGAACACACCTAACACCTTCATTCTACACAAACAGGTGCATTGTCTTCCTTCACAACTATTTGTCTGATACATGTCTTGTTCATGATGCATGCATCTTTAAGCATTTTAAATATCATACTTTGTTAAAGCGTTTTTAATTCTCTAGAATTCTTGTGTTCTTCCCAAACAGACTTTGGACAGTTTGCATTAGTAGAGGAGGAGACCTAGTCCTAAAGAGGCAGCGGGTGGGAACCCTGATAGAGGGCCTAGCCATTTTTCCTCTCCACTTCTGGAATTTTCTGACTAGTTGGGTTCATGCACTTAAGTTTTTAATGTTTGCTACTCTCAACCACAACAATTGTGTACAGTTATTTTTCTTTTTTCCTTTTTTAAGCAAATTGTTATCTACATTGTAACATATGCTGTTTTGTGACAGTTTAGTTAGTACCAGGGTTTTCTTTGCCCACTTCTGAAGAGGCAGAGGAACAAGCCCTAGCAATCGCGCTTCCTTCTGGATCTACGTTGGCATGCAACAGCTTAACAGCATCATAGCTTGCCACCTAGCCGAGGAACAAGCCATACGCGCACAAAGGAACAGCTGAAAACATTTTAGAAAGTTAAGATCTGAAGCCTAGTCAAGCTAAGATAAATGAAAGCAGCAAGCAATTTTATGTGTTTTTTCCCTTAAAAGCTGGATGGATTACTAACTTGTGCCACAGCTAAGTGCACAGTGACCAAAGACTTGCCCATTTCATTAGCCAGTTTGATGCATCTGAATGCCAGTTGATTATACTGGTTCAGATCCCAACAGATGAGCATGTTGCAGATACTTATCCTCTACCTACCCCCACTTCCATGAAGGCCATGTGATATCAGAGAGAATAATTAACTATGCAAGCTGAATTATTTACTCAAATTGCTGTTTCCTAAGTATCTTCTACACACAAACATCCATAGGGTACCTACTTCCCAACCCCAGTCCTCTAACTACACTGTTCCTCTTGTTCTCTTCCCTCCCCCAGAAAACATAGGCAATTTTAGTGGAAGTGTCATCTCCATGCTGTGTTTTGTACTCACCTTTGTGGTGTACACTGCTGGTAATCTTTATCAATATCTGTTTGGCTTGAGATGTTTGTGAATCTGTAGAGACTGTTGCTGCTGTCTTCAAACACAGACCGCTTGTCTTTGCCAAAGACTCTAGTGGACACAGCCTCAAATACTTTGTAGTCCATTAGCGCTTGACACACTCGCACTATTTTAGCACGGGAAATATCAACATCCCCAAAATACTTGTTCTGTAGGAGGTGGGCAAACACAACATCCACCGCATCGGAACCAATAAAACAGTCATGGTAGCACTTCAGGTTCTGACGACGCTTTTTCACTTCCACTTGAGTTTGAAGTGCACTGATAATGCTGCTCCACACATACGTTGCTCCAAAGGGTTTCTGTGCCAAGCTAAAGCCTGGTGATACAAGAACAGAAAGAGGATAATGATTGAACTCGTACTGCAATTAGAGGAGAACTTCCCCCTCTCCGGCTACTAGCTTTCATGAAACATGGAAGGATTTAAGAAGTCTGAGGCTTCTAATTTGGCTTGTGCTGAACCAGCCTGCAACAAAGTATTAGTTCTTGAGCCTTACTCTCCTGGCAAGTCTGTCTGCACCATACCAACGTAACTCACCCTGGCGGTTGCTCTCATTACCATAGCCTGCAGCTTCAATAACAAGCAGCTTTTACTTCTCCAGCCTGATGCTCTGTGACACTGCCTTGCTGTGTACTCTTCCATCACCCAGCGGATGTACTTGCAGGGCCTTCTCCTCAGCACACTTGTTCCACAAGACTGAGAACTAACCGTACATACCTGCAGCTCCCCTAGTTTCAGTAACGGAGACAGGAAGTATACGGCTGGGAAGGGAGAGAGGGAAGCAGGCATAAGGAGACATCCCTTGTGCCTTCAGGATTGTGTACACAGCAGGCAGACAGTGATGTGCTAAGCAGTAACGAGATCAGAAGTCCTTGAGACATGGTGCGCTGGACATTCAACCCACAGAGCAGCCCTCTGTCGGCCCAGCTCAACCCAGGATTCACACTCTGTGTATTCAGTGCCACTTCCTTGAGCCAAACAGCCCTCCCTCAATAAAGCCACTCAACTATTACTCATTTACCAATTTCAAGTTAAGAAAATCGTGCTAGCAACTGTGTGGCCAGAGGCTATAGTCAGCCTCAGCAAGGACTCAAGACAGAGCATGCTTATAAATCCGCAGGTGGCACCTAGCTGCTAAGAGCTGCAGCCTCCAGAGGGGCTAGAGTTAGAATGTTTGTCAGTAAATCAGAGGAGTAACTTCCAAAGAGATCAAGCAAAGCAAATGGAAGAAGAGACAAATCAAATGCTGAAGTACAAAATAAGGAACGAAGAGTTGGCAGCAATCCTACAGACAGCCATCTGGGGCTGTGACAGACCTCAAACCTAATGAATTAACAGTGTAATGCAGTGTTTAAGAAGAAGAAAACAACACGCAATTTGTTCTGGAACATATTACCACGAACATTTTCCACAAAGATACAGGAGGTGTTTTTTTCTGTTCTGTCTGAAGAGGCTCTGGTTGGAGAATTGTATCCCATTGCGGGCACCAGTTTCCAGCCGCCCTCCATCTGCCCGGCAGCCCCAACACCAGCAAGTTGGGAAGGGAGAGTAAGAGAGCTTTTTTGGGGAGAACACGATATAAGAGTATTCAGAGATGCTAACAGCTATCCTGAGAGCAACTATTAGCCACCTGCTTTTTGAAAATATTCACGTCAGAAAGTAAAACTTTTTAACACAAGGCGTTGGTGCAGAGTAAGTAGAAGTCTGCTGGAACCTATTTTCCCAAGCTGTAAGAAGGAGCGGGATGAAATAGGCGCTGATAGCACCACAGAGCACGCAGCAGCCCCTCCTGAGGTACCTACGCTAAGGTACAGGAGGGGCACCCCTCAGACAGCCCCACCACCGGCCGCCCCCAGCCAACCCAGCCTCCTCACCGCCACCCTACCCCCTCTGAGGCGCCCCGTACCCGTAGGCCTGACGGCAGGGCTACAGGCAGCCCCGAGGCTCAGCGCCGCCGCCTTCTCCCGCACGGTGGCCATGCCCGGCCCGTCCCGCAGAGCTCCGCTCTCCGCGCCGCCCCCTCACGCACTGCCCCAGCGCGCGCCGCCCGCCCGAAGTAGCCCGCCGGGGGGCGGGGCCACCGCGCCAGCGGCCCTCTCATTGGCTGCGCCGGGGTATAAGGGGCGGGGCTAGGGCGGCCGTTGAACGGCTGCCCGCGTGCCGCCGGGCTCCGGCCCCTCAGAGCAGCCCTCGTAACGGTCGGGGCACCGTGAGGCAGCCTGAGCTGAGGGGCCCCGGCTATATTATTTGTTATTTATATATATATAAATAAAAACACTGACTACATTTATACATATTACTCATCTCAATAGAAGCAGGCAAGAAGCCAAACTGAACTCCATGACATGCAAACTTGTAAGTATACAATGTTTCCACTTCATCATTTTTAATATTGAAGTAATACTAAAAAAATCACTTTGAAGTCTTGATTATTAAACTTTGGTTTTGCAGAATTCAACCTGTTGTGAGACCAGAGCTCATTCTGTGAGGAGCATGCCCTTGCTGGCTCTCCAGCACCGTTCAGGTTTGCCCTCTTTTATCCTTATGTGTCGCACCACAAGTTTGCACAGTAAGGGCACTCTAAGTTTGTTCATCGTATCCAAGTGAATAAACAATGGATTTCATTTTAAGCTGGGAGAGCTGGTCACAGCTAGATACCACACGCTCTTATGGCAAACACTTCTTCTTGTTTCCTTGACAGAGTGGTAAAGCACTTAATGAGGTTGTTTGAAGAGTGGAAGTTCCTCCTGTTAAATTTTTTCAGGTAAAGAAGCCTTACGCCCACAGAAAAAGGAATCTACTCAAACTGTAGTCAACCACTAGCCTTTGAAAATGAAAGGTGACACTGTCCTTCATTAAAAGGAAGTGGCAAACACAGATTTCTTTCTTGGGGGACAATGGGAACACATTAAAAAAATAGTTCTGACTCACAGGTGTCTGTTTCAACAGTTGCTATTAAAAGCCTAATAAAACCATGTAATACATAGATCAATGTGGATTTCTATGATATATTATTTTATTATTCCCTATTTTGTAAAGGTTCAATGCTAGACCTAGCACTGCCAAAATAGTGAGATAAATTTTACTGCCTAAGTACATTTTTTATTTTTTAAAAAATGCTTTATTTCAACAACTATGTGAAAATTAATGCTGTCAATCATACTGCAATGGATTTGCTGTGATCTTGAGAAAACTTAGACCTACAAAGACTCATTCAAATGGGAGGACACATACAAGAACACTACACCTTATGAGTGAAACAAGTTTAATGCACAGCGATCTGCCCATCCAGAAGTTTATAAGCTTCCCCGCCCCTGTATTTTCTTACTAATTCATCAGCAGACAGATTTCTGTCTTTGCCTCCGTGTTTTCCCCCAAGAGATCACAGCTATATCACACCAGTTTCTCCCTACCCTCTAATGCTATGAAGAGGTAAGAGACACTGGTGGGCAGGTGACAGCTACTGACTGGTCAGCCAGCTGTTGTCAAACACGAACTGGTATCACAGGGAATTAAAAAAAGCTATGCAACTTTTAGTATTACAATAACGTTACCATAAAATGCTTTCTTGAAGCACAGATTTACGCAGGTGAATAAAAATATATTTATTATTTTAATTATTTAAAATTGTGTATTTTCATATAGCCATTTTAAAGAATGACCTCTTGTTCAGCCAGTAAAGACATTTTAAGCCAGTGGCATTCCTCAGACAGGTAGTGGAAAGATCTGAGGATGAAAGTGCAATATGCTATATTCAGCTTCACCTTCCACTACATTTTCCCCAAATGAACCTTTGTAAAGTTGAAGGCAGGATGCACAAAAGAATGCCGGTTATAAAGTCATAATTAACATCATTCATCCTCCAAATTATTTAGGGCCAACTTAGTGCCATTTCTATATACGCGTGTAACAGTACCTTGTTCCAAAAGCAGTTCCCTGAAAAATAAAGAATAACAATATAGGGCTACATACAGAGACATGTACTGCTGCGGGTAAATTTCTTAAAGTGTGGTCTGTAGGGTGTGGCATAGGAGACTAAACAGTACCACTAAATGAAGTTTGATGATACATTCAGCTCTACTGTTGGCTTGGTATCTAAAAGTATTATGTGAAGTTGTACAGACAGAACAACAATTCTGTGATCTAGTTATGGTGATTAAAATTGAATTTAAGCTGTGCAACTGAGTCCTAATTTGTACAGTAGTATTAAGCTCTTTAGAACTGTTCCATGGAATGTTTATAGTGAGAAACAGCAAAAGAAAATTCTATTTTGATCTGATTTTGAAGTCGTATAGAAATGTTCCATCTGACTGCATCACAAGTAAGAAGATGACCTATATTGTTAAGGATTTACAAACTTCAGACTCATAGAAACCCTTGAAAACTTATATAAGAACCTTGGTGTTTAATTAGACATATACAGCAGAAACAGAGTATTTATATTCAACAGCTGCAATTTGGGCATGTCTCTTTGCTCAGGATCTGATTCACGCACTCATGTCAACTACAGGTTTGCTTGAGGATACAGATGATATAAGATAATGTGGGCTCTCCTATCTAGATCTTCTCTGATTAGGGGGAGAGAGACAGCAAAATTAGAACTTGAATCACAAAGTGAGAAACTGTTGAATCCATCTATGTATGCTAAGTGCTGTCTAGCTTTTTTCCATAATAAGTGTGGAAGTCGGACAGCCAGCCAGTGTATTTGGATGAGAGTGCACCTGTAACTTCCAGGCATTCTGGGCACAAATGAAGGAGATATAATTGCATACTAGACCTCACGGAGTATGAACTGACTGTATGACTGAGTCTTCTGGTATCGTTACTGAAAAGACAGAAGTTGGAAGACATCTTGCTTAAGAAGATGGAGGCATATTAAGAGAAAATACAGGGTGCTGTTGTATATAAGGCAGATCAATGCTTGGTTAAGGAATTTGGAAATGCTACACATTCTTAAAAGAAACAAAGGATAAAGTTTGTTTCAATTTCTTAAAACTTAAGACCCCAAATTTGCAAAATAAAAATATTCTAAAACCAAGAAATGGTCAATGTCCAAAATATTTTTTTTGTATTTTAAGTGCCAAAAATTAGAAAAGATTGACTTCTTGCTGAAAATTGACAGACCAAGAAACAGGCATTCTTGCAGAAGAATATTATCATAGTGCTTATTTTCATAAGAATTTAGATCCCAATTCTCTGAAAGATTAACACAGACTGCACATTTCACGTGCCAATCTAACATCTCATAAACAAATGTCAGACTATAGGCGACTCTAATATCAGATGTTTCTTCAGATTTCAATTGTCTTCCACGATATAAGCTTCTAAGCATATTTCAACACAGTTTAAATTTGCATATACATAAAATTTTATTGCCATGATCGCAAGGTTCTAGTGGATTCAGTCTTCATGGCTTTGTTTCTGAAAAAGCATAGCAAATAATGCTTACCATAAAAATTCAAATTAAATATTCCAGTTATTTAGAACAGTTACTCTTTTTTTCCCCACTTAAGTACTAACAATGCCTGTATTCATTGCAGTGTGCTGAAGCTGATGAAGAGGGAACATTTTAAACAGCAAGCCCTTAAAATGTTGCTCTATTTCATTCACAAATAATGAGATAAATTTCATATACATATGGTTCAAGCTCTCACATAAATATGTATGAAAAAGCAACAGCTTCAGTTACAGAAATCATTTTTTAAAGTCACAATTGCCATAACATTATTAAATCTCCCCAATTTCTTCACATGAAAATATAAAGCCTGTTATGTATTTTGACAGTGAAACTGTCCCAAGTCTCCCTTCAACCTTTTTTAATCTCAAATTTAAATACATAAATAGCTATTCATACAACGTTGGATTGCAAAAGGCTGTATTTGATACAAGATTTGACGCAGCAAATCTGTCTTATTAGTGAGTAAGGTGTTCTGTTATTTATATTAAAGAGCATGAGAGGTTTGCTTGGGGCTGAACTCCATGGGTTAGAGGAGACAGACTGCATCCTTTAGGATGCAGAGCAGGTTATTCACAAATTCACTCTGCTTAGTCTCAATTTCCCATTACATTTGCATTAAAAGAGATCATGTAGTAGCAGGTTCTGTGGGATATAGCGATGCCATCTTGCAACATTCAATCTAGGATGCCAGCCACATCTGCCCCACCATGGAGAAGCGACTTTCAGTTGCACAGCTTGGGCAAGAGTGTGATTTACTCCTGAAGCACAAAACTTCAGTTTGATACAGTGATGTGAAATCTGTAAGGATTCCACCCTTGCATGTTTGAAGAGACCAGAACAATAAACAAGTTCCCAAAACAGAAGCTTCTGGATGACTGAACGTTTGAATTGACAAAGCGTGCATTGTTCATGAGTGCAATCCTTCCATTCCTGGGCTGGAATACCAATGTGGCTAGAGGACAAAGTCAGGCAGCTCAATGGCAAATAAAGGGCAGGGAGGCAAGAGGCTGAGCCTGCACTAGTGAACACTGACCTCCGGTGGAACACGCTGCCCTCTGAATAGCAATCCACACACAGGGGCTGGAAAGGGAGCAAGTCAGAGCCAGAATTCCTTGAGACTGCTTACTTTAGGGAAGTATATGGGAGCAAAGAGTATTAGCAACGTGACCAGAAATGCAAGGACGTGACTCTGCTTCTCAATTTTGCTATTACTATTTTTTGTCTTAAATAGATTTTTCCACTTTTCCTCCTGCAGAAGTCTTCCGAGACATTCCAGATGATTATACATTATAACCAGAGATTGATTACAGCATACCTAAGTGTGCATAGCATGATCCTTGCAACACCATTTGGATAAGACTCCTCATAGAGCTGTGAAGATTCACTGTCATCTGCACACTAGAAGCCTGTGTGAGAAGAATAAGCAGTCTCAAGCATCATCAGACACAAATAACTGAAAGGCCAGAAGTTACCATCTGCCCAGCTGGGAGTTACCGTTTCTCAGGTAAGCTAGAGTAACTAACAATGTGAACTTGTGCACATTGCAAAACAAAAATGAATACATTTACTCATTTTACTACTGAAAGTGGCTTTAGGTAAATTCACAAAGGATTAGGGAGCTGGTCTCACCAGTTCATACAATTGTAGAGAACTGGAGGTCAAGCCAAGTAAGCAGTGATTTTCAGTTGAAGCATGGTAAGGTAGTAATTTACGCTGATCTGGCAGGGACAAGTTTCACAACCTTACTCCCAAAGCAAGCAGCAACTACTGGCACCAGCTTAATGGGACAGTAGGAGCACACAAAATAAGGGGGGAGGGAGAACTCTAAATAGATTTGCCAATCATAAGTGAGTTCATGATTTTGACCACTTGACTTTTTTATTTAATAGCTATGTACCAGTGATATCACTATTTACACCAAGCGTAAGGCTTGTGTTCAAGAGCAGAGGAGTGAGTTTATTTTTACACGTGAGTCTATAATTCACTTTTTATATTAATGTACAATGTGCAGCGACCACCAAACTCTATTATGTCATGTCTTGCCAGGTCCCCAGTTTAGGATGAGAAAACAGCCCTAGAAGCACTGCCTGCAGACAGCCTCGTTACCCCCACTAGAACTCAACAGAACTTGCAGAGTTCACATGGAAAAGAACATAACAATGCTTGGCAAAGTACTTTTTATTTTTTGGACCAGCTGATTCCAGAATTGCAATACTTCGATCTTCAGGGGTAAGTTTTCTCTTCAGTTTCTTTTGAGCAAAGTCCATTGACTGTGGTCAATGCACCTCTGCGGCTGTTTGAACAATCACTGGACCTTGCACTGAAGCAAATAAAAAACATTCTCTTACTCTCTCTTCTGTTACCAAAGTTTATGAATAGTAACTTCTATGTGGTGACCAGCAACAAAAAGCTAGGTTTCAGAATCCAAAGGTGCTTTACTCAGTGAGCACATTGAAATCCTTATTCTCCCAGAGCTTCAAACGAGTTACCAATTTGGACCTAACCACATGACAAAGCATTGATGCTTTAGTTTTTATTCACTTATCACACCATTTACTTTGTTGCTGCAGCAAAAATGTGATACATGAATAATGCACAGAGAAATCACATTAGTAGGCACCATAGTTGGAAAGGAGGAGGTTGACAAGCAACATAATTTTACTTAAAAGGTCTTGCTGTCACAAGCCCTGGAAGTTTTAGAACACTATGGCATGTACTCCCAATTACATAGTTTAATATTTCAAGCAACACATGTAGATCAAAAAAAAGTCAGTGACATAATCTGATAATAATTTGAACCAAAAACACCTACAAAAAAAAACAAAAAACAGCAGCATTTTAAAGTAGAATCTTGCTTTGGGAAGCAGCTCTTACACACAGGACCATTATAGAAAACATTCCATCCCTTCAGACTCACTTTTTCCTACAAGCAAGTGGCTCAGAGGCCACTTACCATGTATCCACATCAATATGGGATTTCAGCCCTCTGTGTAGGAAAAATATTCATTAGAAATGGAGTAGTTCATTGTAACTGGGAAAAAAAAAACGAAAACCTTCTAGCACCACTTTTTCCCTATAGGTACATAGAGGTAGCGTTCTGGTTAAGCAAGAAGGAAACAAACAAAAACAGTATAGCTAAAAGGCACCTGAATCACAGAAGTCGTCTCTCTTTTACCCCAGTTTTCTGGTTCCTCATTTTTCACAACAGTTTAAGAACTGGCAGATACGCTGTGAAAATGAATGCAGAACATTTAGAACCAATAAATGCAATAACAAAAAAGTTCCTTAATTCATGGGATATAATGAAAAAGAAATGTATTTCTTTGCATTGAGATCAGAAAATGTCTAAGTTGCCATCTCTTTCCCAACAAACTAGCTTTCCAAGACTTAGTAGTTTAATAATAAATGACTGAGCATTATGAGTTTTTTGTTTAAAAGTGTTTTCACTTTAATGGGTTTAGTTAATAACATCATGAATGGTACAAAACTGTGTCCTTTTTCACATTTCCATACATTGTATTACGGACCACCTGAAAATCTGGACTAAGAACGCATAAAGTGTCTCTTATATAGCCCTAGCCTCTTTTTTTGCCATATGTAGAGAAGATATGCAGAAAACATGCATTTGTTAACAATGACATGTTAATATTAGCTTAAACAATAAGATATGGCAGAACGTGCACACTGTGATGCACAGGCATGTAACAGAGTAAGAGACCAAATGTCACGTGTTGGCAAAGAAAAAGAAATGACTGATGACACATTGACATTTTGCGACCATAGTTTTAGCTTTTCTGTTTTAAAATTGTTTTAAATAGTAGTAAATATTTAAATAATATTTAAAATATATTTCCCCTATGGACATCATTTACTTGGAAGACAGCCTGTAAGATTTGCCTTTTTAAAAAGTAGTATTTCATTTAGACAATATATGAATACATTACAGGTCATAGAAGACCCTAAAGTCCTTAGCCATTTTCAGAAAGTTTTTCAGTCCAATTTTGTCTCAGATGTTTTGCAAACAAGACTTTGGAAGTAGCATCTCAAAGAAAATCTGCCTTTAAGAGAAATACTGTTATGTCAATAAAAACAAACCCAATGTAAACAGGGATGCCATACTAAAGGAAATGACAGTGGAATTAAAAAAAAAAAAAACATAGTTCATCACACGATTAGTTTAATAAATTTCTCTTTTGCTAATTCATAGTCTAAAGAGGGTTTTATTCCTTCCTAGTGCATCTTCTCTTGCAGTCACGAGTGCTCAGTTTCCACTGTCAGATGTCAAAGAATAAGGACCTCACTGTTGCTTCAAGAAAAAGACAAAAGATTGAGGTGTGGGTGCAGAATTATCTAAAATGCAACAGAACAAAGCATTTGTGCAAAAAAGTAACTTGTACATTGACTTTTTTTCTAAGTTTGCTTCAGTATAAAAAGCCTTTTCAATCCCACTAACAAAACTTTATTTTCATTTATGATCCTTCACACACCTGAAAGTTCTATGCTTTTACTCACTGTAATTGGTAAACTAATAATCCAGCCACCATCTTTGTAGCTCAAGACAAAGATGGAAGCTCTATCACATCTTTAGTAGTCTGGGGTAGTTTCTTTTATTCAAGAAAAGTTTTTCCTATGTTCTACAGGCACAGCGCTTGTTTAACTGGTCCTGGGAATAAAACAGCCAAAAATAAGCCAGGCCACCCTCTATGGCAGTGCAGAGCATCCTGGCCCATTTTATTTAGATACTTGTTGCTAAAGTTTACCTTCCTTTTAAATATGGAGAAACTACTCCAAAAACCTTTTTTTTTTTTTCCTTTCAGTTTCTAAGGACTTGGATTAAAACAAGTAGCTTCCTAAAGCTACTTCTAGATTCAAAATTCTAAAGGATGTATAAAGTAGCAGTAGAGAAATCATTTAGAAAGTGTAAAGACCTCTCTCGGTTAGTTGCTTTGCAGTCGTATAAGGGAGGGATGTGAGACACAAAGTCTGATGGGTTCATTACTATACAATCAAGGAGCCAACTCTTGTTCCCTCAGTCTGCATCCTAACCATTTTTAAAGCTACAGGTTAGGAATTCCCAAACTGTGTTGTGTGTATCACTGAAAGGAAACAACAGAACTCCACCTGGGTGAAGAATATATATATACACGTATATATATATATTCCTCATGAGAGGAAATACCTCTCTTGAATCTACACAGCCAGGAACTACTGCTGCCAATCACCCCCATCAATAAGGAAATACACTAAGTAAATTTGGGAACTGCTACTATAGGTTACATAGTACACCAGGCACATTGCTACTACGTCTCCATTGTGCATATTTACATTAAAATGATTTTAGCTGATCACTACCGGTGGTAACTTTGCTTCATGTGCTAGCCACAAACTTTAGCTCCTGTGAGGTTCAACACAGTATGACTGAAACAATGGCAACTCTTCAACCCAGTGCCTACCCTTCTTTACTCTGAAAAAATGAATTAGCTTTATGATTGCTCTAACATTCTGCACATTCTTCCTAAGTAAAGTCCACATCGCTATCCTTGATTATAGTAGACACAACAGTAGCACAATGCATCTGTTAACGTGATAGTGACCTCCCTTTTTAAAGCAGAAACACCGTGAAGAGGCTTTAAAAAAGGCAGGGGCACGTATCGATTTCTGTTCACTGTAGTCTGCATACAAGTTGTAGAGGAGAATTATTGCTTTTAAAAGATGAAAAGCTTTGGAAACATGGTAAACATCCTCTAAGGTTCTAAAAACTAATCAGCTAAAATTCTGTACATGCTTTACTATTCAAACCTCTATTTGATTACTCAAGATCAAATCATTGCATTTTCACATCTATTCATTAAACTCTTTATAGTTCTAAGGTCTAATGAATATTTAACAACTAAATAGGATCAAAACAGATAACAGGAAAAAAAGTCACATGGCAATGAACATTATTTCATTTGGCCAATGAATAGTGAACCCTGCTTTCTTGGATGAAATTAAGGCACTAAGTGGCAGTGAACGGATAAAGGAATGATTTTTTTCCCTATGTTTTCTGAAAAAGAACAACATGGTTTTTATTTTTTATTTTAGGACCCCAGTGGAGTAAGTATCCATTCTGAATGACTCAGTAAGGCATTCTGTTGGCAAATTTTAAGAAAATGAGAAAATGTTCTCCTGGAGTAGAGCCCATTACATTCATTGTCTGAGTGTGACTAGTGGCACTACTAACTGTTAACAAACTGGAGGGACAAAAAAGCTACAAGATGTCTGAAGACTTGAAAGGCACCAAAAAGAGAACAGCTCTGCAACTGCCAGTTCTACAAACAACTATGTAAGCTGTGTTTAACACTGCATATAGTCTATTCAATCATCAATCTTTGTTGACAAAGATAAAGTGTAATAGCTCCTCATTTAAACTCTCAGTTAATCAAGTGCTAGTTTAGTAAGAAATTTATTTTTGCGTATCAGAAAATACTTGCAGTGTCTAACACAACTACACTTAAAGCAAAACTAGTCTAGTATGCATTATTCTGGTTAACACTGAAGCAAACCTGTATAAACAAAAGGGTTACCTCAAGATATATAGTTTACAATAAGAAATCAACATATAAATGAATAGGATTTACTGAAAACAATGGAAAGTGTATTACAAAGATACATGAAACAATTTTAACCACAATATTTTCTCTGTGAAAAATACAACTATTAGTGAGATAAAATGTACAATTGAATTTTTTTTCCCCAAAACAACAAAAACAAAACAAAACCGCAGTATAAAGGAAAATATTTTTTTTCTTCAAAACAGGGAAAATAGTTAAGGTCATTGTCTTTCATTACAATATAATTTGACACAAAAAAAGCAGTCATAGGATTGCACCAACTCCACGTTCAGTCTCCTGAACATGACAATAGTAAAAGGAGTCCATAAAGCATATTGACATTTCTGGATTTTATGATGGCAATATACGTTCGCAGAAACTGATGTCACTCCGGCTCTGTTCACAAAATGTACAAAACTAAATTTGGTGGCCAGACGTATGTAAAAGTTAGTTCACCCCAACACTGACTTTTCTGTTGCTTAGTCAGAGATGGAAAAACCTGTAGTATTTTAAGTGTTGTTATCTTTTTAGCAATAAAGAAAAAAGTATATGTAGTGCATGCTTTATCATTTGTCAAAAACATTTCTGAAAATAAAACTAAGTTATCCAATAGTTTACAAAATAGAAAATAATTCTTCAGGTTAAAAACTTGGTTAGGTTTATGTTTAGTTCCACCTCCAAAGGACCGATTTCATTGGCAGCATCACTTTTCCTCAGCAAGAGCCAAGGCACAAAGTTCCATAAAGAGAAATAAAAATGCCTACGAAGAAGAACGCAGTCTGGCATTATAAAAGAAATCAGAGCCTCTCTCTCAGCTTTCTGTTCCATCAGATTAGTGCCGTAGAAAAATGTGAGATTTGGAATACATTTTTGTTATGAGCATTTCTGCTGGACACGATTCAAAAGTTCACCAAACTTTTCAAAGAGATCCTCCACCCATTTGATATTTTTCATGCACAGCTGCACAATCTCTTCTTGTCCTAGATCCGCACTCTTCTTCTGAACAGAAGAAATCTATTTAAAAAAAAGAGAAAAGAGACATGCACGCACACATACACGTTAGGCTGCCAGTATTACAGATTTTTTGCTTTTACAATGCTCTACAGTTAAATAGCATTCTACTTTTGAAGAAACCCCCTACCAAAACTGCTTTTCTTATCATCTGAGCCAGAGCTTAACTCTTGTGTTTCTGCTACCTGGAATACGTCAACGTGAAATTTGCAGTAAAAAATAAACAAATGGGCATTCTGAGAAAAAAAGTAGCCCTTAGACCTGAGGGGTTACACAAGGCGATAGAATTTGTTTAATTTATTTGGAAAACAGTGAAGAATGCTTACCCCCATAGAAATTGGTTCCACACAAAACTTGTAAGCCTCATATCTGAATGTTCTAGGCCGAAGTGTCCATTAGGGGCAACGTATATGCTCAGAATGTCTTTTTGTTTGTCATAAGGAATTAATTAAAATAAAAGGAAGCTACAGTCCATGCTCATTTACCAAAAATGCAACAATTGCTCTATATTTAGACTCAATTCCCTCAGTGAATTCCCACAATGAATGCAAATATACAGCATAAGAAACCCAATACTTACCTCTTCTTTACATGTCAGATATATGTGATATTTGTAATGATGGAGTGAATGATACAAAGAATACAACTGTATTTTTTCTGGATCTACCGTAAACTCCTGCAAGAAGAACAGTTATTTCAGGTAACTGCATGTTATGTTTCAAGACAGAGACATAACAGATGTTTTTTTCTGTAAATATTTTTTTCTTTCCCTAACAGATCAGAAATGGAATACTTCATTCACATAATTGCTTTGATATATTTTGGTACACAGTAATTTATATTGTATCACAATTATCTCTTATCTCTATTTTCCCTACAAAATTATTTTGTTAAAACTTGTTTTGAGAATGCTTTCAATCCTTCTGAATGCACTGAATGCACTTTTGTAATCTTGCAGCAAGTTTAAGAAGCTGTTATTATGAGCTACACAGTGATTTTACCACAACTGCAATGTTAAAGGCAACACATTGTTGCTTCAGCAACAGTCCAGGAGGCCGACTGTCACGCAGAAACATGGCCTGAAGTTCACTTCTTGTTCTGGTGGTGACAGAAACAGAACGGGCTCTAGTAGGGCACTGCTGGTTGGCGTGCTACAACAGGTATGAAGCACAGCAACAGCAGAGCTCACCTCTCCCTTCCCATCCAACTACACATACCAGCTGCTGCCTGCATAAGGGAAGTAGCGTACTACTACTTCACCTTCCTGCAAACTCGAGTAGTTGCCACAGAAGTCTCCTGTATAGATATACTGGATAAGAGCATTTGGGTCTAAATACAGTAATTATGTGTAAACAAGACATGTGGTTCAAAAGAACTTAAATAGCAGAATCACTCTGAAATGTTTTATTATGTTTTGTGAAATATAATAAATGGAATATAACAACTGTGTTTCATAAATGAGCTAAACCAATGATTTAATATATAGCTTTAAATGTTGTTTTAATTTCTTTTTATTACAGAAAACGCATTTCATTCAAATATTTTTATATTTTGATGAATCTACAGAAGAAACTAATAAATGAAACTGTTTTATACAAATATGACTATCATATTAGAAGTCAGATGGTGGCACCAATAAACCTTCTGGACACTCACCTGCGCTAATTTAGTGGTTGATTTAGAAGCCCTTAACGTTTTCTTGTTGTATGCTTTACCATTCATTTTGATCTTAGACACTGACGTCCCTCCACTTTTTGTCTTTGAATCCCGAGTGATGACTGTCAGTTCAGGAAAGTTTTCCAAAGCATTCTTTAAAGAGAGCATATAATGGAAGAGGATTATGAAAAATTCAACAACAGTTGTTAGACTGCTGATAACTTTTCAAAGAAAAATAGGTAATTTGAGTGCACTCTATTATAAAACAATTTATTCTTCCCAAAGATCCAATAAAAAAAACCTATCAGATCAAGCAACCATACACAGTTTGAAAAAACATGTCCACCTGGTTGTTTGCTACTGTAATTTTTCAAGACAAGATCCTCTTGTTGTGTCTCAGGTATTATGCGTTTCTTTTATTAAAGTAAAAAGATGGCTCCAGTAGGCTATTTTTATCTTTCAAAATTGATTTCCATCCCATTTCTACACAAGAATCTCTAAGGCCAAGTTAGTCAGAGATAATTAATAACTACACAGGTAGAGGAAGTCTGCCAGTTGCAGGAGAAATATCATGCCTATCCATCTTCATGGATTTTGTCCCAGCTTTTGTAAAACACAGATTCACTGTATCTCATCACATCTGTAAGGTTAGAAAAGCTTATGCACGGTGAATTAGATGACCAGTTCAAAAAAGCACAAGCTTCTAAGACATTAACTCATTGGTGAAGTACATTTCTACAAGCTTCAGTACCGCATTACTTCCATGAGCAAATTTGAGTACAACTTTGTTGTACTGTGTTCGCAGCCACTTTGAAATAGTCATGTTATGCTGTATAATCTGGTCACTGAGAAAATATATCTAGTTAAATTAACATATAGATTTCTTTGTATACAAAGAAATATTTTTACTGGACATATTAGTCCAGTATATATCACAGAATCATAGAATCGTTCAGGTTGGAAAAGACCTCTAAGATATCTAATTTAACCTAGTACTGCCAAGTCCACCACTAAACCATGCCACTGATTTCCACACCGAGACATTTCTTCAAGACCTCCAGGGATCGTGACTCAACCACATCCCTGGGCAGCCTGTTCCAACGCCACACAACCCTTTCAGTAAAGAAATTTCTCCTCATCTCCAGGCTAAACCTCCCCTGGTGCAACTTGAGGCCGTTTCCCCTTGTCTTCACACGTGGTGCTTGGGAGAAGAGCCCGATGCCCACCTCGCTACAGCCTCCTTTAAGACAATTGTAAGGTACAATAATATAGGTAGACATGTATGTCCAATACAAAACATGCATATAAGAATATATTAATAATATAGGCTAAGGTGCTAAATTTCAACTACTGAGATAAAATATGAAGTTGACTATTGTATTTAAAAAAAAACAAACAGTACTAATATTCAGTAACTTCCCCTATCTATAATCTCTTAGCACTTTATATACATCAGCCGTTTTTCTCTTCACTAAAAAAAGCTCTCAACAGAAAGCTATAAAACATATTGTACAAAATAACAGTTGCATACTAGTAGCAGTAATCTCGACTAGCTAACCTGTCTGTGTACAATATTCATAGCAAATAACTTTAAATTGGAATCACTTCTATAGGTTTAAACTAGTTTTTCTATCCACTGGAATAGCCTTCCTGAAGGCAGACTCCAAGTATCAGGGAGCTTTGGCCATTTCTGCCTTCCTCTGGAGAATTCCTATTAACCAGAAGAGTCCACATGGCTAAAGCACTGACCTGAAACAGTCAAATTTGAATTGGAATGAAGAATCAAATACTAGTGATTTCTGCATCTCTGAAAGCAGAAGACAGAAAATGGTAACAATTATTTCCAAATAAATTCACACAGTTCAGCTAAGATGCTTAATTTACTGAGCTTCCAATAAAGCAAAAATATTGTTTTTTCATTATGTTTACAATGAACACACCCAAAGGATGTGACAAACTGTTAGAACTACAAAGAATGCTACAGGCAAAACTACCAAACACTAACTGCTAACTTCAGTGTCCAATTTTATTAGTAATACAGTGCTAAAATATCCTGTATTAACTCTATCTAGTGGGGAAAAAAAATCATTTCATCCATGCTTATTAATGCAGAATATTAAAAATATTTCAAACTGTATGATACTCACACTAATGGTAATTTTCACTTATTACTGCAATGCCTTATTCAGCTGGAACAGCAGCAAGCTTTATTAATTATTACGTTAATGTGAATCTTAAAGAGTATCAAAAGTTTTCTCACCAACACAAACAGACGTGATGACAAATAAGTGTTTCATTTTTATCCGTAACATTAATCCAAGTACAAGCTGGGACCCTCATACCAGAAGACAAAAACAAAAGGCTTTTTATCTTGCAGTTTACATCACAAGCAGACCCCTTCCTTACACCCAGAATTCCATTAACTTGCCTGCAGCTTATAACGTGAAATACAGGCCAAAGCTAACTTGAGAGATATGATTCATAATCTGCCCCTGAGCAATCACACAAAGCTATTTTATTAGTTATGAACACCAACTGAATAAGAAGCTGTAATTACATGCTAGTATTACAGAAGATACTAGTATTTTTCCCTACGTCCTGCCTCTCTGAGACTGTGTTATATTTTAAAAAATACGCAGCCCTCCTTATGCCTTCCTACTTTAAGGAGGCTGACACATGAAATTCTGTTCAAACAGGAACAAACTGTACAGCTGTTGGGAAAACAACATAACTAATGATAAAAAAGGTGAAGAATTAACGCAAATTTAAACTGTTTCACTGGTCGATGATGTTCTCCTCCCTGAAACGAAGTCACTTACTGTCCCACAAGACTTATCAGGAATGGTTTGTAGAAAAAGATCTTTCGGAGATTTCATGATGAAAATGCAGAACTGACTTACGTGCTGTTATCTTTTTTCTCACCTAGCTCTCTGCACACAGCAGTAGAGAGAGAATTAATTCTCCAAGAAATGTTTCTGTACTGTAGAAATAAAGGAAATGAGAAGGACAGGCAAAAGAACAAGCTTAGTCTGGTGGTGTGTATGGACAGGTCTGCTCTAGTGCTGTTGGTCTCAAAACCACTGCAGGAAGAAATAATCAGTCCAACTATAGACATTGACAACTACGTCTCAGACATGAGTGGAAAAAAAAGAGTCTTAATTTACTTGACTGCGCTTTCAAAATCTGCATTCTTGCCTCTGTGTGTGGGAACCACAGGAACCACAGTGATTGTTCTCCCCTTTACTTTCTCTCTACTGAGATTGTACAGTTACTCTCTTCCCTGTCTCCAGATCTGTTGTTTATTTATTACTGTGTCTAAGTTACTGTAATACAGGCTTGTTATTCAAACTTCTCCCAAACCTCCATGCTGAATGTACATGAAACAGTGCACGAGCAAGTTGCTCTCTACTCTTTCTGTCTTGGTTTTAAGCTACTCTGTTAAGGTACCTCCTTCAAAGAGGTCCAGAGACTTGCTTGACAGCGCAGCTACTTAACGTAAAAGTTTAAGATTTTTAGGCAATACAATCACTTAGTCAAAAACTCTAGAAGGACAACAAACATTTTATTTTAACAAACTTGAGAAATTTAAAAGGAGAAGTGTTTGAAAATGAACCAGGAAGCATGGTGAGAAAAACCAGAATTTCAGCTTCGCAGTATAAACTTCTTGATCACAAATGGTCTCCAAATGCCACACACAAGCACTGAACGTAGAGCATCTCTTTCAAATTCATATTCACTTCTGTTACATATTTGCCTTGGGTTTTTAGTTACACCTGCATGGTATGCATTCAGTGACTGTCTTATAACATTACTTTAAAGACCCTAGAATTTAAAAAAGAATACCTTGAAAGTATGATCCAAGCGTAGTTTGGAAAGCAGCCTTTTCCTATTGTCATTCAGCATGCCATCAATTTTTCTCATATGAGGCAAAAGTAGCTCATCTAAAAGATAATTGAAAAAAGTAACAGTTGATTATTAAGAGACACATGGTAATATGAGCTCAAACTCATTTTAAAAGTTAGAGAAAACAGTTTGGTTTTTTTTGATCAGCCCAATAAACTGGTCTAGATATTATGCAGCTTAATTGCTGACTGCGGTCCAGCTCCTTCTCTGACTTTTCTTTATTGAAAGGGAAAAATAAGACAGAGCAATAAAAAGAATAAATCTCAAAGATAACTTTAAACCATTTCCTAAATAATCTACTGTGCAATACAACTGGAAGGTTTATGAAGATGAAATATACATATATTTGACATACATTATTCCCTCCTACAAGAAATGACCCTGCTGGCATTTATAACAGAGGTATTTGGGCAAAGTGCTTGCTGACAGAAGTTACCTGATAAACAACTTTAAGATGAAAAATATACACCTGGACATAGGTATGTGGCCATGAATGAAAATTTACAGCTCAGTGTGGAGTCTTATTTATAGTCAATTTCTTTGCTTTTAGTGGCACTACTGACAGAAATCACAGGATATAAATCCGTGAGGTAAGTGTACACTGATGCACAACCTGAGCAAACCAGGAAAGAGGAACCTATATATATATATATTTTTTTTTTCTTCCAGGTAAACTGAATATAATGCAAATGAAAACAACAGCTTCCAACTGAATAGGTGAAATGATCAGTCTTACAAGGACATTTAACTTCAAACATGAGTATTTTGTTAAATTCTGAGAAACAGAATAGTTTTTTCTATTTGTCTTCTGGAGTCCACTACAGTAGATAAATCCATCAGACATTTTCTTCTTAAAGGAAAAATGGAATAAACATATCTGTGATCAGAATTTCAAGGTTTCAGAGTTTGAAAAAACGACTTTTTATAGTATTAAGAATCATAACTACTTATTTATGAGGGTATTTCTTTATAAGAAAGCAAGCACATACCTGAAACACCATAGCTTCAAATAAATGTTTTGAAAGATCTTGAGACAATAACAAAGAGCTCAGTTCTGACAAGTGTAACGCAGCAGAGCAGACAAAAAAGTATTTCTAAATTGCTTTGCTTCCTCACCGAGACAGCACAGATAGATACATTTATATAAGCATGCATATCTAACCTAACCTGAATTGAAACTGTATTACGTTAAACAGTAAATACCCTGCATAAATATGGCATGAAACCAAAATTGAAATAAAAAACACTGCAGTACCAAAGCCACCCTGAATCTCTGAAAAAGTGTTAGAAAATCCAAACTGCAAACAAATTGCAGTCATTTACACGAAATTATCTTCATGTTTTTAAACATTTTTTTTTTTTAAATTTGGTTTGCTTTTTAAAAACATTTGCCTTACTGATTAATAACCTTGAATTTTGATAAAAACATACAAATTTTAAACATACTGTACCATTGCTTTTTTCCAAGGCTTGCATTGTGTCTGGATCCAAAGCAATGCTAACAAGCAACTCCATATAGCTCTTAAAGGTCTCTTTCATAGCCCTTGTGTTCAAAAAGCGAGTAACAAAGGGAGCTGGAGGTACAAGCTCTGAAAAATTAATTGGAATACTGTGACTTATTTTTCTTAAGGATTCGGCAAATATCTGTGTTTTACAAAACTGAAGGCTTTCTCTCTCAAAACTTAAGTGACCCCTACTGGCATCCCAAGAGATTAAAACCCAATGCAGTCAGAAATAACAGCCAAACTATGCACACGTTAAAACAGTTATGACCAACAATGTACAAATGGTACATTTTGCTAGAATCTGTATAACTACTGGCGACTATCAGCATGCAGATGATCATATTTTAGGGTATTTAGACACTTATTTTTATATTATTGCAGATGAAAGCCTAGAGAAAAGGGATAATGAATAACTTCAGTCAAGCCAAGTGTGCTAAGCAGAGGTTTCATGTGAATGCAAGTGTACCCTAAGGCTGCAAAACTAAGTCACCCAACACCAACAATTAAAGAGCACTAATGTCATTTAGAAGCCTGTGTACTACTGACACTCCCTCCTCTCCCCGAGATTTCTGCATTTCTACAGGTAGACTTCAGCTTTTAAATATGGCTAAGTCTGCTTGAAGCACGTTATTTTAAGCATGCAGCCTTCAGCAGAGGCACTGTTCCAATGCATCGGCCATAACTCATCAATATTTCAAAGTCACAGAGCATGCTTTGGAAATAAGAGTAATACAGTGCATGGTTACTACACAGCGCAGCTTCGAACATACAGAAAATAAACAAAACAAAAATGCAAAAAGCACTGTATGCCTGCGACCACAGGTAACCTCTATAAACAGAGCACACTTCAAAAAAAAACTTTCTGTTCTAGAGTAGTACTGCAAGCTCCATACCTCAAAGTTCTAAGACACTGTGAATGTCGTAAGAGCAAGTGTGCTCAGCTGGCTACATCTGAACAGCTGGCATTCAGAAAAGCAAGCAATGAAGCAGCCAGAAGTCAACTCCTTTTCCCTTCAGGGGTTTTCATAAAACAACAGCAACATCTGAATTCTGCCTACATGTGCATCCAGACAGGCATCGCAGGCATGTTACTTTAAACAGAACGTCAAGTTGCAATGGAAAATTAATGAAGAATGTGATTATTGAGATGTAATCTAAAGTCAAATCAGCTTCTTCTGAAACTGAACCAGTCTTAGAAAGCAAGCAGTAAGAACATATTTAATTGATAAACTACAGTTGAGGTAACTTCTGTTGCACACATTAATTCATACATAAAAGCAGTATCCTCACTCACCATCCTCATCGCTCTGTGCTTCTGGTGAAGAATCAGACTGGGAAGATGAAAACTCCTCTTTCCACTTTTTCCTTTTCTTTGGTGGTGGTTCAGCCTTTACCTTTGGCTGTTTAGCTTTGGGTTTCACAGAAGAGACTTTTGTTGCTGTTGGTTTTGGTGTTGGTGGATCAGGGGTTTTGTTGTTGCTACCACTAGGTTTGCAATGAATAGTCCTGCAATATTATGGACAAGATCTTTATCAAAAGAATTACCATACAAATTCTGATTTTAATAGAAGAGTGGTAGGCTTATTTAACCAGAAGATACTCCCTGTGGATTACATATACTTGTTTCACCGTCACAGGAATGGACAGGCACAGGGAGTACAAATTGCCCAATGTTAGTAGTATCTATGAGCTACAGAAGACTGGAGCTAATATTAAAATTGACCATTTAATGAAAAAAAAAAAAAATCAGACTTCATAGACTTGAAAAAATAATAGTACTTAATGAGCTTTGCTGACAAAGTGAATTTGGGATACTGTATCAACACAAAGATAAACAAGTACACCACCCAGGCAGAAACATAGGATCTTGAAGACTGCAGTAAAAAGACAGACTACTCTTCTTTCTCTACCCAGCACTCAAACCAGGAAAACAAATGGGAAATTTAATATCATAAATACAAAGTTACATATATTTTAGAACCAACATGAATTTCTCACAACCTGAGAGCTCATCTCCTGGAAACAACAGAAGAAAACTGTGATGTAGCCAGGTGCCAGGGAAGTATCGATGCAATGCAGTTTTGAGAACATGGGAGAAATACGTTTTTGGGAAGTGTTAAGCAAGATTCTTCATTCAAATGGGAAAGCAATGAAGTGTACTACAGAAACGTTAGTATCTTCTGGGCTATTTGTGAGTAATTCTAGTCAAATCTCAGAAATGCAGATTCCAAACCGAAATGGGTGGAGGCAATAGATACTAGAATCATTAGAGGAATGGAAAAAGCCTGCCTTAGAAGAGAAAAATTTGAAGAGCTTGATTAATCCAGCTTAGTGAAACCAGAACCAAGATGGAATGTGACTGCTCTCCAGAAATATCATACAGTAAGACACACAGTAAGAACACCAGGGAAAGAGAGAAATAAAAGCCAAAAAACCATCATTGAAAAAAGAACATATGGATAGCTAATTTTGATCATGTTTTGGCTAAAAGACAGGATTGTTTCAGAGCACTAGAGGAACAGGTCCTGGAACAGACTTCTGTAGCCCAAAACAAAAAAAAGGGATCGTCAAAACTCCAGGTAATTTTAAGAAGATCATGATCATTTTACAAAATTGGTTATCTGGATAAAAGTGCCTTCTCTAAGAGTGCAGAACTGGAGCTCAAGACCCAGTCATTTCCTGAATGAAGAGTACTGTACTTTTTTTTCTGTATTGTTCACTAACATCTGGCAAACAAAAATACCTGCATTACATTATAATTATTGAAAAGCCATATAAAGAGAAAAGCTTCAGATAGCATCTGAAGATGTGGGAAGATATAATGAGCTCAGCATTCAAGCATGAAAAGGTTTGTGTAATGCAGATTCTGTAATCCTTTGCAAATGCACGGTCAAATGCCAAAACAAAATGCAATAGCAAAGCTTTAGCAAGTGAGTGACAGTGAAAACACTCTCAGAAGGAAGGTGGCAGAGGAAATCCCGGAGATAGCCAAAGGACTCTGATGGAGACGTGGTCGTTCCATTTTGCAGGACCAGCACTGTATTTACTAGAATCATCAAAACCATAACTGTTTGCTTTACGCTCTTTACCTGGCTTTCCAAAAAGGCATTTTTGTTTGGTGGTTTAAAAGCAATACTACCAGAATATTGATTTCAGGGCATGGATATGGAATTATGAGGGATGATTTATGAGATAAGGCTTTTGTAGTGGGCTGACAGGTAGGGAAGGTACAGTAAGAAAATTAAATATATCCTCACTGTGCAAGAGCATAAATGTCAAGGGAAAGCATCACTGTAACAACCAATTTCAACAAAGAACTTCTGTTTTTAAATTACGTTTCCAGGCTTGAGAATGAAAGCTAACCTGCAAAAAGCATGGAATGGGAGAAAACAACATCAAAAAAAAAAAAAATCTTTATGCCTGTAGGCTTCTATCCACATACTGAATAACAGGGCAAAAGAGCACAAAAAGACACAGCATGTGGAGCCCTAGGATCTCTGAAATGAATGATTATTGCAGTCCACCGATTCCAGGTAAAGAATTGTCTTGATCTGATAGTAATTTGTATCTCATTTCTTATAACAAAACACAGTTTTGCATTTCCAACTGAAAGATGAATTAAGGTAGCTCTGATGTTCTAAGTCTTGTTTATTAAAAATAGGTATGTTCTTAATACAAAAACAATATGACAAAACTGAAAAACAAACTGAAATACAATACCTTGCTGACTGTACAGGCTTGCTTCGTGGTTTTTTTGAACAGACTCTGACATATTCCTTCTTGTTTGCATTTTCAATGAACTTCACATAGACTCGTTTGTATTTTGTTTTTGCATCCCCAAAATACCCAAGATACTAGAAAAAAATTATGATTTAATATACATGCTACTTCTGTTAAGTAGAATTATTCAGTTTAACAATTTAAATAGTAAAGAAAAATGTTTAAAAGTCTGTTAATATACAAAGATGATCTATTCTATAGCAGTTATAACCTAAGAGGGATTCCCCAACAGATTTCCAAATAATGCTTAAAACAAGAAAATAAGTCAAGAAGTACTTTGGGTATTAATTTTCTCCCTTTATTTAACACACCACACCTCCACGTGTTACTGCAAAAAAATGACCTCTGACGAATGGCTGCCTCTTGAAATGCTATGCTATCCTTCCCACAGTGGAAAGCAGTTGATTCACAAGCCTGCTCCCACTTAACTTTATTCCAGTTGAAAAAACTTGTTCCTTTACCCAGACTGAGTGATACGAAAGAACCCATGCTGGAAAGCCAAGAGTCTACCCTTAATATATTTAGAAAGAACTTTAGATTAGGAAGAAATCAAACTTTTTTTTTTATTGCAATAATGTTATGCCAGAATCACATTTTAATTTCTTTCTCAGCCTTCCATTAAGTAAATTAGTTGCCATGAAGCCTCATGAGGAATTTTTTGACTCACACTGTTAGTAGCAGCAAACTCTCTCTGTCCATCTCGCACTTCAGGAACAAACTTTTGCAATAAGGCCTTCTGTACTTTCCAAATAGCTGGAGGCTCCTTTCCAGTTTGCAAAGCAACCTGTAAGAACAGAAGATTATTTGCCTGTAATGGTGCTTGTTTTTCTCCCAGATGTGTGTTTGTGCATTCTACTTTAACAAGTTACCCAGGAATAAAATAGAAACAGGTCATTCAAATTCCAAGTTCTTAGTTAATGGATGTAATTTACATTAAGATAGCATTACATGAACTACAAGAAGCGTTAAGAGCCACAAATATTACCTTCAGAGGAATGAAGCTGTGCCAACAAGCTTCACCTATGCTGCAATGTCAGAACTACAGCACCACGCAACCAAGCCACAAAATGGTATTTCTCAAAGTGACACTTTCCCTACATATATATTTTTTAACCGTTTTACTTATTTTTTTGGGGTAACACAAATGTAATAATCACAACAAGCAGCAGAAAAAGCTTGTAGGTTCCTTGAGATTCTGTGGCAGAAGTCCACACTACCTGTGAAATAACAGCATGATGCTTACAGTAAGGTGAAAAAGGAGAGTTCCACTCAAATTAGTGTACCAGAGTTTATACTTTTTGTTCAACTTTAACTGTAAAAAAAAGTTTGGATTTTTTTTTATTCAAATAGTTTAAGAAATAAATTATGTTAAAAACAGATTTGTAATTATTACCTCGAATAAGAGTTCTCTATAAATCCTACATGCAAACTACTAACTTAAAAACTTTCTTTTTCTAAAACATAATTGAGTACAGATGCTTTCTCCAAGGAGTGTTTAAATAACTGAAGAAATATATACTACAAAGATTAAAATTCAAAATCTCATAACAGTATTTGCATAGTTTTATAAATGACAAGGGAATGTTTTATTTTAGAGCTGGTAACACTCATGCGATAAAGCTACATGAATTAATTTAAAGCTTAAGCTCAAGAGGATGAACACAGACAAATAATGAAGAGCATCAGAAATTGAAAATAAAAGTACTACTAGATATGATAGGAGCAAAAGAATAGGCACACATGCACTAGAATTTGAGATAGAGACCCCAAGAAACAGAAGTCAAGGATAACACAACCTTTCCATAAACTCAAAAGAGCTGTACTGGTTCCATATGGAAGCCATTTCTGATTAGAACAGCAAATAACCTCCTCCAAAAAAAAAAAAAAGAAAAAAAAGACAATTCCAAGACCATCTGCAAAAATCCAAGAGCCATTTCTTCAATACCATACTCCTGAGAACCTACTACTATCTTCAAATAATAAATAGATAAATAAATGGAACTCCAAGTTCTAACAAAAGTTACCAGGACAGGAGATTTACATTATTATATATACACCTTATAAAACGGATCAAGTACATTCAAAACATATTCATAACCCACATCAGAAAGACACCTTTGAAGTAGTTTGGCAGCAAATAGAGCAGAAAACCAATCCGTAGCCTTTCCACCTTCAGCAGTTTTTTGAGGATAAGTCATGGAGCTCTTTTGGTGTGTTTTTGTTTGATTTTTGTTTTACGCTCAACTTAAGCATTGAGATTACCTTTAGTGTCTCTATATCTTCAATCTTCACTACAAATTCGTCACGTTCTCTGTACATGCCCTCTCCTCCACTGTCCGTATTCTCCTCATCAGTACTTCCTTCTATTGCAACAGTTGACTGTATTTTTGCTAATTGGTCTGAAGCCCCAGCATCCTGTTGAGCTACTTTTAAGGGGTCGGCTGAACTCATTTTCTCCTGCATACTGACTACAGGAGCCGTCGTCTGCGGTGATTCCTGCTTTATAACAGCAGTAGTGGCAGCAGCATTAACAACCTGCCACTTTTTCAGCTTCTGAAGCAAAAAAAAAAAACAAAAAACAAAACAAAACAAACAAACAAACAAATTTTAGTTAGATTTAGTTATCAAGGATTAGCAACATAAGATGAGAACTATTTTTTTTCTTTTACAATCCCTATAAAAAGCAAATTTTCTGAAATCGCTTGTTTTAGGAGTTAAATGGGAGCTTCACCTTGGTCACAACATTAACAAAATCAAAATACTGTACACGTCTGTTTGTATTTAACTTGAGCCCGTTACCATCTAGAAACGACAACAATGAATGCCCCAGAAAACAATTTTATAGTTAACAGACACGTTCAACAGGAATACTGCTGTGCATTGTGTGACCATACAAATACAATAATAAAAAACTTATAACACTGAATCTTGTTTCCAGTCTGCTGACAGGTAAAGACTTCATAAATTGAATTAAAGAAAGAGAAAGATGCATGAAACATGAGAACATTTGCTCTATGACTTTTGGACATTTATCATTTATATCTGGTAGTAAAGCAACTGGAAGTTTCAGATTGGGATTAAAATATCCTAATAATTTTTAGAATTAACAGTGGTGAGCAATGAGAACTGAGATGAAACAAATAAGGGAATTCTTCTGTATGCACCAGAGCCAAAGGAAACTCCAAGCTTTCAAAATAATTATTCTTTCCCCCTGGAAAAAAATAGAATCCTTTTAGGTATTACTTTATACTCTTTCATACAGTTTATATACATTATATTTATTTTTATACATTTTAACATTGTTTTTACATTGACTTGCTATTCTACAAATCAAATTAAATAAGCTATAGGGTACTTATTAATTTGCTTAGAAACTGGTTTCAAATTTAAGATAGCCATTTTGAAGTGTAACAACTATTGTTAGCTGATGATTTAATTGTTGAAAAACAGAAAAAAGATGCAACCTTTTGATAAAAATAATCCAAAAAATAAATATCAAATTAATGTGTCAATACAAAAATTACATACCCCACGTGAAGATTCATTAAAGCAACTCAAGCAAAATTGTTAAGCAATTAAAGACTTTTTTCTGGATATATAACATCCCATTATTATACATATGCTATTTTTATTTGTTCACTGAAGACTATAACAGCCTTAATTAGATATAGTCCTATTAGTTCCCCAAGTAATATTTACATGTTCTTCAGAACAGTAGACTAAATGTACATACACTACTTAATACTAACCACAAGTAACTTAATACTAACCACAAGTAATCCATACTTATGTGCAAAAACAGACAGGAGAGGGAATTACCAGAAAATCTGCAAAAACACTAGCATGTAGGAAAGAAGCCATTATTAAGCACGTTGTATTTTGTACAGTCTTACATAACAAAACAGAAAAGGCGAGTTAATGAAGCTGCTGGTGGAAGTATTACATCCTTATGAACAATAAAGAAGACACAATAACATTGTAGAAGAAATAATTACAAAAAATAATGTCCATGCAACAACTTTGAAATATTTCCTTAGGAAGCTGTACACAGAACATGATTTATTAAAGTTAACATATTCAGGAAGAGAGGCTCAAACCATAGCACTGTCCACATTTTGGCTTTCTAGGGGGAAAAAATGTTGCTTTCTTGTTTAAAACTCTTATTACGTTGAAAGGTTTTCTCTCTTGGATGTATTAGTACAGTTGTGTGATCAACTAGGTAGTGACTGATGTCACTGAAGACATCTCTCTAGGCAAAAATACTGCTGCATGCCAAATACTTCAAAAAACAAAGCAACATCAGCTAAAAGCTATGAACACTGAAAACATATTACATCTGTGCTGTATGACACAAGTGAAACTGAACAGCCAAATACATCAAAAACCAGCTAGCACTGTCATCAGTGGTTGCTGCCCGTCCTCCTGCCCAGAACAACCCTTTCCAGCTTTTGTTCTTTCGTTAGCAATATCTCAACACAAGGGCACAATGCTCCTCACAAATACTGCTGAAATCAAAGCCAAGTGGTTCCCATCTTGGACATGGCTAGCTAAACTAGCGCTTAGTTTACAAGCATAACAATTGCTTTCACAATTGCTTTTACAAACATATTCTGGGCAGCTCCAGCATCACAGAAAGCACACACTTATCTCCACCCAGGAGGAACTTAGCATTTGCTGATGGCAATTGTTAACATGTTCTCTTGCTAGAATTCTTTGAAAATTGATTTAAAACCACTGGCCATGGTGGTTTGTTGAGGTTTAGGGATGACAACCATACTTCACATTCTAAACCAGAGAAGAGAACAGACACATCGTTCCAAGCCCGAGCTAAAGTCATTTTTCAGCATTAGAAGAGTCCTGCCCAAACAGCATGAAAAAGTTTATGTGCACATTTTCCAACTGTAGACAACACTAGTTTGGTTCATACTCAGCACAACTTTTGAACAGAACTCTTAATTATGGCTGGATTAAAAACAAAGCAAATCAAGACCTTTACCTGAATTAAAGGAAGCTAAAATGTTTCAGTTTTCCCCCCCATCAGCTACACAACTCTCCAGCGTATGCGCTCACACGAACTGTTTTACCTGATTTGTTCTTTCTGTCAGAAGTATCATCAAGGGCTGACAATGCAGTGGAGATGCTCTTCTGAAGATCGTGGTTCCCCCCCACTGAATCATCTTCATCAGAAGAAAACGAAGGCAATGTTTCCAAATTCTTCTTGAGTTCCTCATCCACTTTTTTGGTTGGACTTTCCGCACTGACCTCGGCAGCTACAGGTGCTGCTGCTGGCTGAGGCTTTGTGGAGGGTTGTAGGCAAGGGCCGCGAACTATTTGGGTAACTGGTCGCCTAGTCCTGTTTGGCATTCGTACAGCTGGAGCTGAAAACTGTTGCCTAGGCCCAGACTTCAGAAAGTCTAAAAAAGATGCGATAAATCCTGTTTTGACTTCAGGTTGCTTTTCTTCAACTTCTTTAATTTTTTGCCTCATTCTTTCCTGATGTTGGTAAGTATCGTAACAGCTTTCAGAAACAGGAGAAGAGTACATCAAACACGAGTCATTTCCTCTCGAATTTTGACGTTTACACTGTCCGCTCCTTTTGTTCTGTTTCTGAATTGCACTGTCATCTTCTGCAGCATTTTTGTTTTGGCTTTTTCCTTTGCTTTTCTTCTTCTGAAGGTTCCCGAGAGTTAAGTCTTGGCATTCTTCTTCAGTTCTACTAATGGGTCCATCTCCACTTGGGGCCACAGGCAGTGGCTGCAACGAATTAACCTTTGACTGGTTACCTGCTACTGTACCATCATCACCACCACCTACATTAAAATCATTCTCTGAAGCAGCACTTTCTTCACTTAGACTCTTACCACTAGAAACAAAGTCTGCCTCTCTTGCATTTAGTGTACCATCAGCAGGAACATCGTTATCTTCTTCAGATTCGTGGCTAATGCTAGACTGTTTCTTCACCGGAACAGCACCTTGTTCTTGATCCTCTTGACCAGGACCAAGAGCAGGAGAGGTCATTCTTATTGGTACATTTTGATCAGAAGTTTCAATGTGTTGTTGATCGAGGTTCACAGGTTTTGCCTTTATTGCTGACACCGGTGTAAGATTTATAGTGATTTGGCCTCCATTCAGAGAAATATTATTTATGCTTGCTGGCTTTCCAACTGGAGAGGCACTGAAAGCAGAAGACACAGTGTCTTACATCCATTGATCGGAACTGCGTTTTAGACTCCTCACTGTTTTCAACAGACTGGATTTCTTCTTCGTTAGATGCTGATTTGGCAAAGTCAGATGGTGTCACTCCACAGGCTGCCGCGGTTGCTGCTAAGATATCATCTACATTGGATAATATATTCCTCTCGTCACTGAGAAGCATAGATTCTGGGAAACATATCGAACTAAGAGAAACAAACTGATTTTTTGAATCGTGTTGATTTGTCTGGGTAAAATGATCTTTTGTTGTCAAATGTTGCTGTAGTGGTTTTGAGGGCTCAGAAATGTCCATTTTCATTACTTCTGAGTTCTGAGTGTGAAGCTGCTGCTGAGAATGACCTCCATTACTTTGAATAATATGGCCATCCATCTGAAGGAATGGATGCGTCACCTGCTGAGGACTCTGTATTCTTTGCACTTGTGGTGATGCCTTTGCTTGTCCTAAACCTGACTGCAGTATTGACTGATGAAGAATCTGCAAGTCACAGGTCGACTCCAGAAGTACCTGTGCACTGGGCAAGCACAGCTGATGACCGTGCCTTAAAGCATGAGGTTGAACCTGTGGTGGCGTGCTAATGACTTGGCCTTGCTGTTCATGACCTTTATTTTCATGTACCTTATGCATAAGAGAATGTTGCTGGTTTAGTTCTTTAGGACTCACGTTTACTTGTGTTGTTTGCATTAAGTTCGCTGTTTTTTTCATGTCATGGCTTAGGCTCGTGATATGGCCAATGTGCTGGGAAAGCTGTTCCACGGTATTAACCATTCTTTCATCTTTTTTTGCTCCTTGAAGAGCAAGTCCAACAACTTGATCTTCAAGACGAGAGTTACTTCTGATTACGCTTTGAGAGTATCTGTCATCTGCTTTTGAGACCCTATAGGATCCGTCCTGAGCATTGATTTCATCATCAGTTAGCCTTTGGGTGGAGGATTCAAGAGAAGCCTGCTGTTGCAATGCCTGCATATCCTGCATTGACAACTCTTCCTCTTGTTTTGACGAAGCATACAAGTTAGAGTCAGATTTCCTTTTTACGTATGACTTTGTTTCTGAGGAAGGCCTGTTGTTCTGCAGCGTCTGTGAATGAGCTGGGGATGCGAAAGGAGGAGACTGCACAGATGGCAAAAATTTCTGAGACTGTGGCGGGGAGGATTCCTGTGACTGAGAGTTCTGAGAAGAATGTAAAGAAATATAGCTCTGATTAGGACTTGAGCCCGGAAGAGTCTGTATCCGAGGAGACGCGGAAAAAGGAAGAGAAGGCGATGTTAACGTTAAAGACTGCCCTGAAGAATAGCTTTCTGAAGGACTAACAGCTGATAAAACTTGTGATTGAGATGAAAAGCTAACTTGGGATTGGCTAACTGGAGATAAACCCTGAGAGTGACTAGAAGAGTAGCTCTGAGACTGGCTGACCGAAGAAAGTTCCCTTGTTTGCCCAGAGTAGTTCTCATTTGGAACTGACGTCAATACTTGTTCGTTTGAGGAGTAACTTAGAGTTTGACTATCAGAAGTAATGGTTTGCGATTGCCCAGAGAAAGTCAACGTTTTGTACAAGGAGGGCAGCTTCTCGATCTTGCTAGATGAGAAATCCTGTGAGTGACTGACGGGTGACACATTCTGAGACTGGGAAGAAACGTAATTTTGGGACTGGCTGACTGACAGGAGACTTGGGAGCTGTGCTGTAGAATAGATCTGTGCTTGGCCTGTAATGACAGAACTCTGGTTCTGTGCAGTTTTGGCATAGCTTTGCGTCTGCACAGTGGGAGCTACACTTTGAGGTTTGGGGGTCTTCGTTGACCTTGGAGGCTGCTTCGTGGAACAGTTTTTCACTTTTGCTGTGGAAGCAGGCGGAAAACCAAGTGATGGAATTGCAGATGTGTAAGACTGAGCAAGTTCCACCGTGACTTGAGAAGTCTTCTGCTGTGGTCCTCCATTGCTCACCTGAGTAACATCTCCAACTGGACTGCAGGATAATGCTGAGTGCCTAGATGTATCCTGAAAATTAACTCCACTTGTACTTGTTAAATAGCTGTGTAAGGAATGCTGTGAAACAGTCAGTTGAGCCTGAACAGACTGAGTACTTGAAGGCCGCTGATGGTGTTTAATAACACTACATTCTCGCTGAAGTGCTCTATCAATAGAAGCAGTGGAACCGGTAAAGACAGATGTGCTATACGCCTGAGAAACCTGCTGAGTTCCTCCAATGGTTGAAGGCAACAAACTAAACTGAGGTTGCAAAAGATGGGGTGCAGATTCTTGAGCAGAACGATACGTTGACGACTGAGGTGGTATACTGGTACTTAACACAGAACTGCCCAGGCGCTCAAATGTCAAAGCAGTTGGAACAGTGCCTTGTGACGTTTTAATCTGTAATAGAGGATCATGAGTAGTTAAGAGGCCATTCGATGTAGCACTGAAAGTAGTATCTTGAAGAGTAAGAGAAGGGGTAGTAGCAAAGTTTCTACTGCTGAAAGTGTTGGGATGCTGATATGCTGATAAAGCAGATGTTGGTGGAAACGTTCCAGAGGTTGGCAGTGCTCCAGTAACGAATAGTTCTGTGGCTGTTGAGGAATGCATACCTGGAAGAGAAAAAAAAAATAAACGTAAAGGGACAAAGAACATAAGGGAGCTTTACAAGTTGCAACACTGAATTTCTGTGACTTATTTTATATTAAGCTCTTCCAGCATCTATCAGTATAACCTTCTTTAGAATCAACACACTCCTCAGCAAAAGGAGGCACTCATTGTGGATGCTTTTCACGCTGGAAGTACAGTGCTGCAAGAACTCAAAATTCTACACCTACAGCAAGCTGCTGAGGGAAAATAACTCACATCCTTATGATGCAAATTTTGCATTAAAAAGTCATACAAGACTAATTTTACTTTGAAACCAAAGGCTCTGTATTAGTTTTTATTTGAAATTTAGAAAGAATTACTAGTAAAGGAAAACTGATCAAAAGCTTTAGACTCTTTAAGTATACTGTAAAAAGGCAAAATTACGAAATAAAAATTCTAATAATTAAGAGCAATTTCATCTCCTGCATTTACCCTCACCAATACTTGTGTAACTCACTTTTTATGAAACAGCATTTCAGAGCATACGATGAAATAGCTGAAATTAATTCTCAAAGGAAGGCTTTAACTTACAATACAAAAAAAATACACGATTTACATGTTTTCTTAAGTGAAATACCATAGTTCGAAATACCCTGAGACAGCAATTATCTACACAATACAACAACTATCCAACTCAAACATATAATCTTATTTGCACCCAGACATTGCTATCACATCCTTACTTAAACAGCATTTATTAATAGAATATACTACTGCAACTGAAATAAGTTTGTGAAACTCCTTTGCAAGCTTTGAGGCTCACTGCAGCGATCCATATTTTTCGGGGTTTTTCACCCTGAGGCTTACAGGAACTGGTAAAGTTTATGTACTATTTCTCAAGTCTATGAAAGTAAATGAAGACAAATTTATTCTCAGAGAGGCATGAATTTCCTGTAAAGGAAAATGAAAAGGAATCAGTTTCCCCTAAAAAAGTTACAAGGATAGGCAAAGCAAAAAAGAAATAAAATCACTGGTACAAACTGTCAGTAAATAAGGCTTGTTTTGAGACATATCTCAGTAATATGTTCAATTTTCACTTTAAAATACATAAAGTCCTTCTGCAACTTAATCACAAAATGACTTTGGAAGTGTCAGATGAAACTGCCAAAGAAAGTCTTTGTTTCTCCCTTTTAGTTCAAGACATATACTGATATGAAGAGATATGATACTGAAGGAATGCCACGGTATTTTTCACAAGTCAACAATAAGGCCTTTCTGAGTAAGAAAGCATAAGCAGTGTTTTAATTCCTCTTTTCCTATTCTAAAAAAACTGCAACATCATGTACAATTGGGTTCCTTTTTACTGATAGCTAACACTAACACAAAGGTAGGGGCATTCAGAGGGAAAAGAAGGGGAACAATTTATGCCTATTTTAGCTGTGGATGTTCAGTTCTCATCTAAGCCCTTCCTACTACACAGTTAATTTCTCAACACCAGACAAGTCACACTAGTATGGCAGAACTGCTGGGTTTTACGTTTGAGTTTTATAGAGCAACAGACAACAGCATGGGGAAGGTGTACGTGCAACAGCCTCCCCTGCTTCCCTATGGAATCAGAACATGGATAACACATCACACATATCCAAGGAAGACTTGGTGGGACAACACAACAACCATGTTGTTCCTCCTCCCTACCCCCAACCCAAAAAAAAAAAAAAAAAAAAGCCATTGCAGGGTTTGGAGAAAAACCCAAAGTCTATAATCCACCTCAAGAATGACACCTTGAAGACCAAAGAATACTTGTTTTCCCTCATCAAAAAAGTCCATAGAAGAGAAAGTTTTCAAAAGATACTTGAGAGGACTATAGAATACAAAATCAAAAAAAAAACAAAACAACAACAAAAACAGTAAAAGCATGAAAGGACAATAGAGAGCTCATAGAACTGATGATATTGAAAATGGGCTTACTGATGAGTTCTTAGTAATGAGTACTGAGAAGTCTCAATCACTGGTATCAACATCAAACCCGACCCCACATCATGCCTCCCCATTCTTCACAATTCACTGCGATAGGCAGGCTGCAATGAGGAAAATGCTAGGACGAAGAGAAAAAAGGTTTCTTCCCAGCTGACAATCTGATGTGAGGATGGCTCATCACAGTTCTTAAACACCTCTGGTTATTAAGGATTTTGACAACCTAGTAGCGTCTTCACCTGTGTTCCCACCTATCTGCTCTTATCCAAGGTGAACAAAAAGCCGCATGCTGTCTGCTCAACTTTTTGTGCAGTTTTTTCTTCAAGGAACACAGCTGCACATCACACTTAACACACCAAGTGCAAGTCATCAATAAAAGGACTGTCCAGTACTTCCCTCTTCCTGCCGTACACCTCCTCCCCTACATCAGAACTAAGCCCTCATACAGCTGCACAGAGAGGCAGATCAGCTTGCTGATACAGTGGAAAAATAACCCACTAAAGGAAAAAAAAGAAGAGCGCTTTCTGTCAGATCAGTGAATAAATCTGATTCACTGCGCAGCCACACAATCACTGCATAAGATTAAGCACAACTCCATGCTACCACAGATGCAGTAGCAACACTTATCTTGGTGTGGCTGTCTACAGAAAGCTCAAAATATGCAAAATTTCCTGCTCTGCACAGAAGGCTTGACAGATGGGGAAGTTTACAGAAGGCAGTCAGTCTGCCACAGAAGATGGCATGTTTGTTTATTTGTGAATTAAACCACTGATTTCAATGCACCTCAGACCCTCTTTTTGAGAACACCTTGCTTATTACTTGTGTACAAAGGGACTAGAGCTATCCACAGCCTTTTAGTAGTACTATCACAGAAGAACTACAAGGGACAGAGTTTGAGAACGAAGCATCTGCTGGGGTGTACAGGTACTCTACGTGAATATGCTTATGGTGTCAGTGAGACTAATTCCAAACAGAAGGATGGAGAATAAATTTGACTAGTTAGATAAAATTATATCCTGTACAACTAAACCCTTTTTCGACAATTAGAACTTCTGCTTAGAGATTAATATAATTTCATTGATTTTTAGACTTTAAATAACAAGATGGGAAAGAAGCAGAAGACACAGCCTTTTCCGGTAGGATATTTTTGTTTCAAATACTCTCAAACATTCAATTACAGTCATCAGAGAATTTTATTGCATGAGAAACTTTTCACCTGTCTGCCAGGAAGGAGCCCTGAATTGTGGCAAAAGGGTAGATCCTGAAGAGACTGCCTGAGCGGTACGAGACTCGATCGCAGAGAGAAAATTCATAACTGAAGTTTCCTTAGTGTTACTTCCAGAGGTGTGCATACTGGTATCAAATATTCCTGACAGACCTAGATGGGGGTGAAGGGAATTAAACAAAACAATTAGACAATTCAGATAAACATCTCACAAAAAGCTCAAATAACAAGGATGTACAATCATAATCCACTAAAAATAATAAAAAAAACAACACTTTGAAACATCAGCCACATTATTAAAGTGCATGATTTATTTTTTACCATTTTAACTGTTTCTCAGAGTTGCATCTTTAAAATGGAACTTGAAGATACATTTTAAAATGTAATTTTAAAAGTCTGTCAAATGTGATGCTCTGAAACAATGTTCAGGTAAATTAGTACAAATTCTCCCTTCATCTGAAGATTCACCACTCCACATGAACTACTTAAACATTCGGACTTTTCTCTGAAAACTGTTCAACTTCCTTGTACCAATCTTTTTCTCCTCTGAACACCTGTAGCAGTTTGGACTTCTCTGTGGGACTGGCTCAACAACAGGGTTGGGGTTGCATTCTTTGTTTCAACAACTGTTGCCCTTCCTTCAGTGGCTGGATGGGAAGCACTGCACAGGTGGCAGAGTTTTGAGCAGCTAACATTACGTCAACGCTGCAGGGTCTGCACCTTGAAACTTTCCCCACAATTCCAACCCTCTGTCATGCTGATCAAGGCCTTGGCCAAGAGAGGCAAATACCTGACAGCTTATGACCCCAAATATCTTTCCCTTGGAAAGTGGGTTTCAAAGTGAGGAGGAAGAGGTCACTCTCTGTCTTCTGCGTACATCACAGACTGACACAGATCTAAGATAGCCTATAGGACCTGCTACTATATTTAGAGTAAATTTTAGGTTTTCCCCCCAGCACTAAACCTTAATTTGCACACGTACATACTAGCAACACTACGTTCCGACTTGCGTTATTTTTTTCTATTTGCTTTAGTCTGAAAGAGTTGGCATGATTTCTGCAGCTGGCTTTGAGGCATACTTCAACATTTTGCCCTTGTGCATAGGCCATAATCCAAAAAGCTGTATTTTAAAGAACAAAAATGCAGGAGTTGAAGAAGAAACAGTAAGTTATAGAGCATAACTGCCTCTTATATTTTCCTTTCCACTTACGACTTTTTTTTTTGAACTAGCAACTGATTGTTAGCTATCTAGTACAACGTCAGCTTTCCTCATACCACTTTCCACCATCTGCATAACAAACACCCTCTGATTAGAAAATTCATCATCTTGAAACTAAGTTATGCAACAGCTTTTTTATTTTTTTTTAAGCTATTCAAGCTGAAATCTCATAATATAGACAGTTACCAGTAGGATGGTGTGTAGTAGAGTATCCAGGAAGCTGATGAGAAGCTGTGTATGTCTGTCTGTGAAGAAGATCTGTTTCTGAATGTGATGGATGTCCTCCTCCATAGCTTAAGCTAAGGAAGAAATTAAACATTATGATCAAAAACTTGCAGCTGTAGACAACTATGAAATCCCAACAACTAGCCAAAAAGGAGCAGAAATAAAATGCAAGCCCAAAATCTGACAGACGTGGTTGTGCTAGGACACTACTATGAATGTTAAGCAGTTAAAAAAAAGCACTACAGAACCTGATAAGACAAAGTGTGTGTGTGTGGGGGGGGATCAATCATGGAAAAGCCTACAGAGGACTAATTCAGACAAAGGAAAGTTTTCTAGTTCAGCTCTCAACCACTGGATGGACGCTTCCTGTGATGATTTACCAATGTAAAGATGTGCAAGGCTGATGACTACAAATACATGCCCATTTTAACACTTCCAGTTTTCATTTCATTTAAACTTATAGGATCACATTTAGTACAAAGGCTGAAAGGACTGTGAAGCTGCAGGAGCAATTTTGTATTTATTTTTTTTTTTGAGATTTTGTTAATTTCAGTATGATTCTACCAAAATTGACAAGAGCACAAGCGACAGATCTCAGTCTTGTGACCTCCTAGCATTAAAAATAAGTTAATGATCTACTGCTTTCATTTAAAGTTTTGAGATGAGTCATCTCAATTAACATGATGTTTTGATCAGGCTTATCTGGGAGCAAACTGAAGATAGAGTGTCTGAGCACATTCAAAAGCAAGAACACAGAAAATAAAGAAATGCTATCTAAACATCAAGCAACAACATTAGGAAATGGCCAGAAGTGCTAATTGCCAAGCCTTCCAAGCTTCCACAGACTCAGTTTTGTGCAGCACCTACTAAAAGGAGAAAATGTAAACCTGCACAACTGGGTCACTATTCTGTTGGCTTCTCTTCTTGTCTTTTGGACATGAAATTTACAGGTAGCTGACACTTACTCCAGCGCACGCATGAGACTGATTTAAATTCAAAATTCAATTGTAAACAGATGTCCAAAAACCCAAACTAAACCCGCAGCCTGCTGACTGCTGGGAGCGACTCCGCTTACCCTTTACATCCCCTGGGATGAGGGGGCAGTCGCTGCAGAAGGGAAAATTGGAACAGCGATGCCAGGAACCATGACATCATGGGAAACTCGCGTGGAAGTCACCACATAAAATAAAAGCTGGCACCACCACCGGCTTCACTTCATTCTCATTAGGATGACAGGAGTGTGCAAAGGAGAGCTGGTAAGCCTGCCAGGGTGCCATGACTGCCACACGCTGCACCAGCAGATGTAAGGGACATCACATTGCAGCCTTCCAGATTAACCCCATGCCGGAGATGCACTAACAGCAGACCTATTTCCCATTTCACCAACTTAGAGGATAGAACTGCTCCTACACTCAGTATGCCAGGCGAAGGCACAAACCTGAAGAATAACAAAATTCCTTAAAAGCAAACAAAAAGCTTCAGCTGCTGCATTTTACCTGTTGCTTTTCACAGTCACAAATACATTTTAGAGCATCACCACGCCCCAACTCAGGGTGAGCACACTCATGCACTTACCTCGTCGAGGACAGGTCTTGTGCAGTTCAGCACTATCAATCAGCAATTGATTTTGTTTAAATACTGCCTGAAATCTCTACTGATTGAGTTGTTATTAAGGACAACCAGTAGGCATAACGGGGTGATGTTATGGGTCACTTTTTGGTCTATAGGCTTAAAACGTCATAACATTTCCAGACAAAACCACAACAATAGTGCTCTACGCACAAAGCATCCTGCATTTACATAGGCTTTACTCTATGCAAATATGTTTATGCGTGACAAGTTTTTAAGTTAAAAAAACACAGGCACAGCTAGAAAAAAAAAAAAAAAAAAACACAAAACTTAGGACATATGATGCTTTCTGCAGATTGTTTTTGTTTTTTTTTTTTTTAAATAAAAATGTGCTACCCAAGAAAATACATTTCTAAACTGAATCATGGTAATGCATGCACTGTTAGCAAGAATTATCTCCACTGACATGAATTCTGATCTTGTGAAATCTTTCCATCTGTAAGTGGTTTTCCTTCATTTCTTTTCAAGTTTTCTCAAAGCACCTATGCACACAGAAGGATGTGGTGCTGGTTTTGCCCCTGTACATGTTTACAAGGCAAATTGTACTCTGGTTATCACTTGTACAGCAGCACATCTTCCTTCTCCCATTTCAGGCTTTTTCAGGAGGAGAGAGGGAGGCTTCCACTGTTCTGGGCTGGGGGGTCTACTCTTGGCCCCAAACATCCTTCTAAAGGGGTCAGACCCACAAAGATTATATTGAGTAATATTGCACCATTCCTCCTCTTACGTTGTAATAGAAATCATTCATGGGCAAAAAAACATATCAATCTTCCTTCACATTAACCACCTGAAAAATTGTGAATTTTAAAAATGAGTATTTTCTTTGCTCTAAAATTGGTACTTATTCTGGTCGGTTGGTGAAGACCGATTCATACATCCCCCCCTGCTCCCTTGCAAGAAACTCCTTTTTTGTAAAGGAAGCGTACAGTACACTCAAAGATTACAAGAGAGCTTAACACACAAGCTTATAGATATGAGGCAGAACACTAAACGATAAAAGCAACTTCTGAAAAAGGTAGACAAAGATTTAGCAGCAAAGAGAACACCGGAAGACAAAAATAACCTGGAGAACAGCATCCCAAAAACCTTGTTAGTTACTAGTATCTCAAAATTCTAAAAAAGCTTCTTGAATAAACTTTATTTTTATCGTGAGAATAATCAAAGCATATGATTTACTTTAAAAAAAAAAACAAAAAAAAAAAAACTCCCAGTTTAATGCAACCGCAACCTCAAAAATGAATCTGCCTTTCAATAAAAACATTGTATTTATTAGAACGGTTAATTGTTTATTGTATAATTACTTGTTGCTGGAATGTAGATTCTTATCTCAAAAAACCTGCATATGCGCCTTTGGTTTACATAAGCTTATCCTAAACATAAGCAGAGCAATCTGAAAGATTACAGCCTCGGGGTTTCTTTTTATAAAATTAAACTGTTTAAACAGATGAACTTATCCGACTCATTATTTGCATATCAGAAGTACATTAAGCATGGCAAATACCACGATGGCCATCAAGTCTTTCACGCCCTGGTTTCCAAGCTTGTTAGAATACCCCGGGGAGCTCCTCCTTGCTGGGTCACTTAGTGAAGAACCCACGTTCACGCTGCTTGGTACTGGTTGGAAGGTTACCATCAGCTGCTATTTAGTGGCCCCAAAACATTTCCTCCTTTATCGCTCATCTATCAAAGTGATTTTGCACTTCCAGTGGCAACAGCACAACAGGATAATTACTTCTTGAAAGTAACGCAAATTTGGGAAACGGTTCCCTCTGAAGTTGTTTTTCATTTAAGAGGTCCATTCAATCTTAACATAATACCTAAGTGCCCTGTCAGAGATACCCCAAGATTGCATCATCACTTGTCATTACTGTAATGATGCAATCAAAACATTCTTGTCAATGGGAGCAAAACTGACCCAAATACTACTGTTTTTTCAGCTACATCAATTAATTTAATAGAAGACGTTAGCTCTCCAGTAAAATTCCCCACAGAAAACGTGTACCTTGTGCACTTGGTACTAGAAACACCTCGACCTCACCTTACAGCCTTCTCGCCTTCTTATTGCCCAGCATTAAGTCTTTCCTGAACCAGCTGGTCACGTATCGCTTCATATTGCTGTTATTAAGATAATTTATTACCACGGCACTCTTCAACTTAATTGCTTTATACAAATTTAGGTCACCAACTGCAAAAGGTTATGGAGTTATATTGCATGAGCCGCCCTCCTCACCTGCCAACACAATTCTTTGCTTTATGCTTTACGCTGCTGCCAGATGCATTTCCTAATTTCCAACTCCAATGAAAGCACCACTTTTACAAGGAAACAAAACTTAGTTACAATAAGCACTCCAGATAAAGAGTACATGTAGCCTTTTTTATTTCTCTTGGTTTCTTCAAATAGCCTTGCTCTACCCTAAGCACTCACACGGAATAAAATGCAGAAATAAAGCCACTGGAAACTAGTATCTTAATTTACTCAATATTCGACAGAAAAAGCATCATTATGCAGAAGAAGGTTATTTCATCTACCTTCTTTATTTTCCAAATCAGTGTTCATTAGAGGTTGGCATTATTTATTCATTTAAGGTTAGTGACTGCGCGATTATTTCAGGTCTAGGGTAACACATGATGCTTCTATGGCAAACAGACCAGGACCTTTTAGAAGCAAAATATATTTCTGCGTGCAATACTTTGTTCTTAGGCAGTTGTAACTTCTGTCTGGTACAAAGGAAAATTGCTCCCCAGATCCAAGCCTTTAAATCACAGGGCATTTTCAAAGTGCTTCAGCTGCAAAGGCTGCACAAAGTGAAACCGGTCAGCCAGAAGACGAGCAGTTTCCAAAACACAGCACCACTCTCTGGCTTGCAGGGCTGAAACCCAAACCAATCCAACCAAGACAAAAAGCAACAACCCCGCACACACCATGCAAACGGCCAGACCTGAGGTCAGGGAGGGAAATGATCTGATTTCATTTCGGGGCAGCCTACTACCTGGGAACAGGAGAAGCACCAGGCATACAATCTGCCTGTAATTAAAGCACCAAAGCAGAGAGAAAAAATGCACTGATACCTTCATGTTGACAAGGAAACACCTTATAACTCATACTTTGCATTTTTTCTGACTTGAGATGTATGTGAAATAGGGGAAATAATACTCCAATTATTTGAAATAAATTTCAATTAAGCTATATTAAAACAAACAAAAACCTTGTGAATTTAGCTATCTATCTGAAGGCCTCTCCCTTCAGGTGGCTCTCTAGCTACCCGACAGCAAGCTCCAGTGCAGAGCAAAGCTGTTCAGAAGTTTCACATACCACAGAACTGAACAACTCAGTTTCTAAATATTAAACATATTAAAAGCACAAGAATTACATAATTGATAGGCAGCTTGCAGTTTACATCTCTTTTTGTCCGGTATCTGTATTTTACATGTTTAAAATCAAAAT